TCCACCACCCCCCCCCCCCCCCCCGCCCGCCCCGGAAATTATATATGGCTCCCTTTGTAGGAACCTACTGTCAAGTTGAAGAGAGAGAAACCCCACCTTTGAGGGTTAAAAGTTGAGCCATGTATCTTCATGATTTTAAAATAGTGCTATCGACTATTCTGTAAAGGAAGGAGCCCCAGTTTTATAAGTAATTGAAAAACTGAAAGCTAGTGGTGGTGGCGCACGCCTTTAATCCCAACACTCGAGAGGCAGACATTGGCAGATCTCTGAGTTTGAGGCCAGCCTGGTCTACAAAGTAAATTCCAGGACAGTCGGGGCTACACAGAGAAACCCTGTCTCGGAAAGAAAAGGAAAGAAAAGGAAAGAAATTTAAGAAAACAAGCAATTCTATTCCACAAGTGCTTATGGAACACCCTTCATGGGCCAGCCTTGAGTGGTGGAGTGATAAGATAATTCCAGGTTTGTTCTCCCGGGAAGTCATGGTCCAGGAGGGCAGATAGGCATGGGAAGCGGTAAGTTTGGGATCACAGGAAATGGAGCCAGCTGCCTTTAGCTCTGGGGTCAGGGAGACTTCCAGAGCCAGGTCAGCCTTGACTGAGTTTTGAAGAATGTTAAAATTAGCTCCATGAGGCAGGGGATAGCTTGAGGGAAAGGATGAGGCGAGGAGGTGAGCAGCAGATGACATTTTTTGCAGGAACTAGGTTCTTTGGCTAAAGAAAGAAGTATTTAGATGGAAGCCCTGGGGTTCTAGGCCCTTAGGGAGCCACACACAGCTCCCGCCCTCCTGGCTTTCCTTCTTCCTGTTCCAGCCTGCTCAGGAAGAGTGTTTTAGTTTCCTTAACAATCCCTCCTCCCAGAAACTCGCTCACCATCTTCCTCTCTTCCTACTCCTCTTCCATGGCTCCCATCATCCTCTGTGGCCACCCTGCCCTCTCTAGGGCCTCCTTGCTTCCTCAGCGAGCCATTTCTGATTCATCAGAATAAAACCTTGCACTCAGGGTTGGGACGGTATGGCCATTTCTACAGCAGGAAGATTGTTGTACAAATTGCACAGAGATGCAAATTGCCAATAGCCCATTTATAGTCTGCTTATCGAAGCCAGTGTCTGTTGCGTGTCTGGATCCACCTTCTGTCTTCTCTGCCTTCTTACCTGACTGAAAAAAGATCCCTGAAATTGATGCTCTAGAATCATTTTGAAGCAGGTCTTTGTAAAGCTGAGATGCGTCGAAATAAGTATTTTTGTCCAGATTTCACACCTAAGTTGAACTATACATGTTTTTCTAGACACCAAGTCATCATATTCATTCGTGTATGCCTGCATGCAGGTGTGCAATACACAAAACAATTTTACGTAGCTCTTATATTTTACGTAACCCTCACTATTCACTAAGTTCTGTGCCCAGTTCTGTAAGCTGTAGCCTCCCCTGAAGGAGCACTTTGCACAGAAGGAGGAGACACAAGGCAACAAAGAGGCAAAATACAATGGTCCCAGGACATAATACAATGGTCCCAGGAAGAAGACGGGAGGCAGTGTGTGTGTGAAACATAGCAACAGTCAGTTCACCTGAGGTAGGGTGCAGGAAAGTCTCTGTAGGTCACCTTTTCATTGTTTCTGGAAAGCCAAGCCAGGGAAATACATTCTAGTGTCTATCTATCCATACATCTATTTGTCAAATTTTATCTTCCTATTCTTTAAGTAACCACCTTTCTCAAGAGAGCTGCTTAAATGATACAGTTCTAGGAAAATAAAGCAAAGGAAGAGACAGGCGAATCAAAGCAAACATGCAGAGCCAGTCAGTGGTGGTGCACACCTTTAATCCCAACACTCGGGAGGCCGAGCCAGGTGGATCCCTGAGTTGGAGGCCAGCCTGGTCTACAGAGTGAGTTCCAGTTCAGCTAGGGCTACACAGTGAAACCCTGCGTCAAAAAACCAAACCAAACAAAATCAAACACATTGAATGATGGGACCCAAAGAAATCCACAAGAGTTTAGGAACATCAACAAGATGAAACATTGTTTTTACTTCTTGGTACCTGTTATGCATAAAATGCCATGAGTCTAAACCAGAGGAAGCAGCCTTGCAGAGACACTCTTACATTACATGCCTGACACACTTAAACCATAGCACCAGTGCTTTGGCAGTTCTCAAATGTTCTTTTTTTAAAATTGTCTAACTTTTATTTTATTTATTTAATTCATTTATTTTGGTTTTTCAGGGTTTCTCTGTGGCTTTGGAGGCTGTCCTGGAACAGCTCTTGTAGACCAGGCTGGGCTCGAACTCACAGGCATCCCCCTGCCTCTGCCTCCCGAGGGCTGGGATTGAAGGCATGTGCCACCAACACCTGGCAATCTGTAATTTTAAATATTATTTATTTTATTTTATGTGTACAAGTGTTTTACCTGTACATATGTTTATTCAACATGTGCATGCCCAGTGCCCGTGGACTGGAGTTCTAGATGACTGTGAGCTGCCTTGTGGGTGCTGGGAGTTGAATCTGGGTCTTCTAGAAGAGGAGCCAGTGCTCTTAACTGCTGTGCCATCTCTCCAGCTTCATTTTAAAATTTTATTAATATAGTGTATGAAAGTTTTGCCTGCATGTATACAGTGTTCACCACATTGTATGTCTAGGGCCTATGGAGGCTAGATGAAGGCATCAAATCCTCTGGACCTGGAGTTAGGGATGGTTGTGAGTGACTGTGTGGGTGCTGGGGATTGAACCCATGTATTCTGGAAGAACAGTAAGAGCCATTTCTCCAGCCCTCAAATATTCTTGGGATGGTCTCCCATCCAGGCAAGAGGAGTGTACCACCTTTAGTGTTGATTATTTTTTAATTTTATTTTTCTTTCTTTTTGGTGCTAGGAATTGAACCCAGGGTCTATCTCCTGTTTAGCACTTTCTCTACCACTGAGCTGTCCCCACAGCCCTTGATTCAGGTTTTTAATAAACATCTGCTTGATTTAAAAGTCCCAAAGCATAAAAGACAAAGTGAGGGCTTCCATGTCGCCAATTTCTCATCCCTTTCCACAATTAATCACTGCTATTAGTTGTTTTCCCTTTTTCTATTTCCCCCAGGTAATGCACATATAAACAAGTAGGAATATATTTATTTATTCCCCTTTCCAAATAAATCATAGTGTTCAGGACCCAGCGTTCTGTGCCTGGCTGGCCTCTTCAGGACCTCAGGCCCTGGACCTCAAGGTTAATAACAGGTATCTGTTGATTGTCACTTTGGAGTTTCTAACCCTTTGTTACTACAAATAAAACTACAATTATGTAACATTGTGTGCATGCCACCACCCATCCACACAGCTGGCCTGAGAAGGTACATTTCTAGAACACAAATTGCTGGGCCAAATTTTGAGTGATATATGTTGGATTTCATTTGATAAGGCTTTACAAATATAAATTCCCACCAACAATTCACCTGCTGTTCCTCCCCCACTCTCCCTGGCAGAGCAGGACTTAATAAGCTAGCTGGTTTGGGTCTTTTTTGTTATTGTTATTGTTTTTGTTTTTTGTTTTTTGTTTTGTTTTGTTTTTTCGAGACAGGGTTTCTCTGTGGCTTTGGAGGCTGTCCTAGAACAAGCTCTTGTAGACCAGGCTGGTCTCAAACTCACAAGAGACCCCCCTGCCTCTGCCTCCTGAGTGCTGGGACTAAAGGCGGGCGCCACCAACACCCAGCTAAACTGTTAAATGGAGGCCAGTGGTTTTGATTTACATTTCTTCTACAAGTGAGTGTCAGTGTCTTGGGGGCTATGGGATTTGTATATTCAGTCTAGAGAATCACTTTAAGAGTCTACATGCATTGCAAGGCCTCTGGACTCTAAGAAAATATATACTTTTATTTTAAAAATAACTTTAGACCTTTTTTTTTTTTGAAAATGAAAGAAGCAGCTTCTACAAGTTGCAGCTGAACAATATGAAAACATCACAAGTAGTTTGGAAAAGACTCGGCAAACATGACAGAATCTAAAAGGCCTTGAATCAGTTCCCTAGATGCTCATGACAATGATTCACGCACCCTGCCCGAGGTGCACACCGACTCACGAGTGTGCAAGGTTATGTTCCTTTTGTTTCTATAATAAATATTTCCCACTTCCCACAGTCTACCTGTCCTCTCCACGTAGACACAGCACCTGTGTTCTCTAGTGTTAACAGGAGTATAAAGCAGCTGGCGAGTAAAGCAGCCCCGCTGTGTCACCCTGTAGGGTGAGCCTCTTCCCTAATGGTCCCCAGATGTCCACCATGCAGCCAGCTGAGACACAGCTAAGAGGCACAGCGTTATTTCTTCCCACACAGAGAGTAAGCTTCTTTTGTGGAGAAGTTGCAGATGGACTTAGGTACTGGCACACACTGGATGCCAAACTCCTCCTATTTGTGGCAGTAGCTGGAGGTCCTTGTTTTCAGCCATAAGGGACTAGCTTCCTTGAGGACTTCCTCAAGAGAGACCCACTCTGAGGCTTTCCTTATAGGCTTCATCAGCGAGGTACCCAAGCAGTCCATTGCGTAGTGCCTGGCTCTCAGCATTTGTTGAGACAGCAGTGTTGGTGACAAGCACAGCTGTTTTCTTCCCCACCCTTCCTCACCCAGCTCACCTCCAGAGAATCCACCTGAGAAACTGGCCCAGCTGGTGTGGCCTCTAATGAGTGGTTGGGCCATGAGGAGGTGGACTTGCCAGGGAGGGAGGTGGGAGCCCCCAGGGGTTAATTTGCTCACATAGCTCTCAGCTGACTCAAGTCTCACCTGTAGGACATCCCCTCCACCCCTTGTCTTTTATTTTTACCCTTGAGAACCCCAAGACTAAAAATTGGGTCTGCTCCTTGGGCCTGGAGGGTTGCAGAAACCTTGCCTCTGTGGCTGTTCTGCCAACTGTGGCCTCTTTCACGCTGTTCCCTGCTGTGGTCTTTACTACCCAGAAGACAGTTTTTCTATTGTCCCTACCCCTTCCCATCCTGGGCTACATACAGCCTTTGAGATAATCTCAAAGAAGACCTTTCAAGATGGTGGGTTGGAGACGAGAAGACGTAGCAGCGGGATGCTTGAGGGTCAGATTTGGGGCTAAGACGCGGGGAAACTGGAGTTGGGATTCTGTATCAACTTCTGTTTGTTCCTGAGGGCACAGTAGAGAACCTCTGTGGGAGGGAATTCTGGCCTGGAAGAGGCCTTCCTTCCATTGGGCCCCACCTGGCAGGCCACGGGCCAGCAGAACTTCCTAGTGCCTAGGAGGTCTACCTGGCTTCAGGTTGGTTCCTTGGCAGGTAAAGTCTGTGACCCTGTAGGAGGGCAGTGGCCACCCACCTTCTAGCTTGCTTAGTTCCAGCCTAGAGAAGAGGTGCTTGTTGGGGATTCTCATGAGGCCACACCTGGGGAGTCAACTGCTCGGGTCAGTGCTAGCCCAAGAGGCTCTCTGCCCCAGCCTCTCCTCATGCCCAAACCCTCTCTGACAAGGGATGTGAAGGGTGGAGACAAAGCCCTTAAACTTCCAATCTAGCCCCACCCACTCTGAGCCTAGGACCTCCCTTTGGAGCTGGCTTGCTGATGGTCCACACTGGGACCCTCCACCCTCTCCCAAGTCGTGGCCTGTGCAGCATGGAGCGTGGCTTCGATGCTGGCCTTACTTCCCCATCCTCTTCACGGTGCCACTCATGCCTGCTTCCTCACCAGCAGCACCCAGGGCAGGATGGCAGCTACCACAGCCACCACGGCAATGAGGGTGATGAGCAGAAGGGCCCGAGACCGGCAGCAAAAGGAGCGGGTGGCGCTGGGAGCCGGGGATGCCTCAGAGATCTCTGCCAGGCTGCGTCGGGGCAGCACACTGTCCTGTTCCCCCAGTGGCATCCCATGGCGACTGATGATGAAGATCTGCGACTCTCGGGGTAGGGTGGTGGGCAGCAGGTCCAAGGGGAGCTGAGTCCCCTGGTGTGGTGATTGTCTCCAGACCTGCTGGGAGACAGCCAGGGGGTTTGTGTGGCCCCCACGATCTGGTGAGGGCATGGAAGGCAGGCCAACCGGCACAACCAGGGTCTGTGAGCTCTTGTCCAGCATGGAGGGCCAGCGGGAGCTCTTCTTGCTGAGGAAGGTGACATAGCGGCAAATGGGGCAGACGATAGTCCTCTGCACCTGTCCATCCACCCGGGTAGAGAGCAGGTACTTGACCAAGCAGTCGTGACAGAACACATGGCCGCAGCTCAGGGTCCGGCTGGCGCCCTCCAGATCCCGGAACTTCTCATAGCACACAGGGCACTCGCTGCCAGAGCTGTCCTTGCTCTCCCCTTCTGACATGGCCCCTCAGAGGTAGCAGGCCTTAGCTGGGGCCTAAGGTGAGGGAGGGTGAAGGGTTGTGAACATCTAGGAGTTTTCCCTCCTATCCCCCCCCCTTCCTGACTCCCGCTCACACCCCGTCTCCACCTGTTCTTTCTCCTGCTGCTCTCTCTTCCTTCTCCTCATCTTTCTTTTCTGGTTCTCCTCGGAGGCCTACCTGGATCAAACTAAGACGTAGAGCCTAGGATCCATAGAAGAGTTGTACAGGTTTTCCTGGGGCTGGCATCAGGAAACAGGTAAGAGATACCAACAGTGCTAGGCTTGGGTAGGAAGCGTGTAGAGTGGGATGAATACCTGAAGTACCCGATGCCTCACCACAGCTATGACAAACACTGTTGATGTCACCACCTCACCTCTTCCTGATTCAATGCCTGACCTGGCTCCCAGGGCAAATAGGGGCTAAGGCGATGCATGGCCAGATGCATAGGCAGCGCCGATTAGTGTTTAGTTTGGGTCAACACTACATACTATATATACTATTCTTCAAACTTCTCCCTCATCAGGGCTTGCCTGATGTGTGGCCCAGCTAGGATCCCATGTCTCACATCACCATTTCCAAGACTTTGTTCTTGGTGGCAGTCATAACTATAAAGCAATTAAAAAAGTGAAGCTAAGAACTTACACATGCAAATGCTTGCTGGGCCTTGAGTGCTCACACACCAGCCATGTCCAATCACACTCTTCAGATTCTCCTCCGGGGTTACCAGAGGCAGTCGTAAGATTCCGAGTAGCCTCAGGAAAAACAGATTTTCATTCTTTGAGAACGTGTCTGATAATTCGGAAATGGCCCAAACCACTGAGACTTGAGTCTGGTGAAAAATGAGTGGTCAAGGTCATAATGTTGTTTGAAATCAAAGCTACAGAGCCACTCGGAAGTTCACAGTGGGTTTCAAATGAATCTGACAGGAAACGGGAGACCAAGTCACTCTCCTAGCAGGACTGCTGGTGACTTTGAAGGGAAACAGGAGCTTGGATGTGGTGGTGAATTCAAGTCGTTGCCTATACATGTCTCTGGTATCACAACTGTGTAGCCTAGCCTTATCCAAATACCTGCAATTGATATATAGTACCACCAGTGACAAACACCAAGGACCCAAGATTCACTGAGGATTGTATGACTGCCCTGAAATCTGGCAGACAACCTGGTAGGAACAAGGTTAGCTACTAGGAGGAAGAATCTATGAAGATCACAGTCTTTTGGAACCATTCACATTCCCCTCTCTTTGTTTAGTTAAAAATCCTTTGTTGAGTTGAAAATGCACTAATATTTAAAAACTTTTTTAAAAAGTGTGGTGATGGGACCTGCAGACATAGAAACAGTTCCAAATCTTTGTGGAGGTTTCTTTGGTCTCTGAGGTGGCTAATGCGGCCTCCAGTCTGGGAGACGGGGGTCAGGCACTAGATGGGAGAACTGGGTTGAAACCCTTATCTATTGTATTATTATCTATTACACCCAGGGCCACCTGTCAACCTTGGTCGAGCTGTTTAGCTCCTCTGAACCCCAGTTTCTCTGTAGAATGAGATTGAGGACTGGGCATGGTGGCCCATGCCTTTTACATGGTGATTTCCAGGAAAGTCAGGGCTACAGAGTGAGACCCTATCTCAACAAAACAAACAGAAAAAGATGAGGCTGGCAATGGTACCACCTTCCTTGCAGAACTGGTGGTGACATTAGTGATGGAAGAGTATGACATATGCTAAGACAGCTCACATCCTCTCTGTTCTCCTGGAGGGGGCCTGGAGATCCCTGTTGGGCATCTAGCCTACAGAATCACACCCTTGACAAAGGACAGCTCTTCTCAAAGCAGAATAACCAGACAAGATGACAGTAGGTTAGGTAAATGGTGGGCATCAGAGAAATTAGGATAGCGACAGCAAATTCTCAGGTTTGTTTTCTTATAGATGGGCAAAGTCTTAATGGAATGTGTTGCTATCGGGATAATTTTTTTTTTTTAAAGACAACTGACAACAAAACTGCCCCCTCTCCATTGTATAACTCTCCAAGAGATACAGTGACAACTCTTTGCATCTGGTCATTCATCCATCTGTCCACCCATCATCAGATTTCAACAGCTGTTTGCCAAATACTGAGATTAAACACTGGGAATACAGGGTGGTCACAAAATCCTTTACGAAGCCTAACTGACATTTATGAGTTTTCTTTTTCATTCTTTCCTTGTTTCTTGGAGACAGGGTCTCATGTAGCTCAGGTTGGCATGGAGCTTGACTCTACAGCCAAGACTGACTTGAACTTAGTCCTCCTGTCCCTACTCACCACATGCTGTGATTACAGGCGGTACCGCCATGCTTGGGTATGAGCTGTTTGTTTGTTTTCTTTTAATAGATTTTTTTTTTAAAAAAGGAGGACTGATGATCAGTAATGTAAGTTGTTTGGATAACTGAGGAATGGAGCTCAAGATAGGCTAGAGAACGTGTGTGAATGAAAGAACATGAGGAGGAAGACAGGTCTTCAGTATCGTTTAGTCAAAACTAACAGCTTTATAAATTAGGATATTTAGCATTAGAGATGGGGGAGGGCTCTGTGTGTGTGTGTGTGTGTGTGTGTGTGTGTGTGTCTGTGTGACTCAAGGTCACCTGGCAGTGATAGAAAGAGAGAAGAGAAGAAAAATTCCATGGATGATGCAGAGAACGTTATTAGGCCCTGTTGATAGATTGGGTGAGTAGATGTTAGCCAAGTCAGGAAGTCATGCTAGGGCTGACCGGGGAGGAGGAGCTTTTGCTGCTTCTCTGAGCTCCAGGAAAATCCAAAAAGCAATCCAGCAAGTGCCAGAGACATCCTGGGTTACTCACCAGAACCTCTCAGTTTCATGTGCCCCAGGAGAGCCACGCCATTCATGCTTGGGTAATGCATGTCTCCCATCTTCTTCACTTCATTTCTCAATGTTTTCTTGACCCCTCCCTCCTTAGTTTCTCCTTTCTCTCCATTCTGTCCCATGCTGCCATGCTGAGGGCTCTAGGGGACCTGACTCTGTCTGGGAGAGCACAGCAGACAAAATCCTAGGACCATGCTGTACTGTAGTTGGGGCACAGGCTAGGTAAGTGCCAGGGCAAAGTATCCTATACCAAAGACATCCACCTCAGTGCCTTGAGGAACCCCGGGGGGAAGAGGAGGACTAGGAGGACTGAGAAGTCTTCTTGGCTAAAGTGAGACCAGTGTGGAGCTAGTAATAAATAATTATAACAGCGGCCGTTTATTGACCACTAATTACATGTTTGGCATTTCCAATCCCTTCCTCACCAAATCCTGACAACAAGTTTGGGAGGTAGGTATTATTTCCATTTTACAGAGAAGGCTTAGGGCTCAAGTCATAATGCTAGGATAGGGAAGAACTAAGACTCGAACTCAGGACAGCTTAGCTTGACAGCCCATAGGATGTATCGTCGTCTCTCCTGGGGTTCAGATAGGCCTCCATGGAAGATCTTTCAGACTTTAGTAGACGATGCAGCCCCAGCAGAAAAGTGACTACCCCTGTTTCTCAAGTGCCCCCAAACAAGGCTGTCCCTCTGGCCATTTATGAAGTGAGGAGAAGACAGTGGTTAGCTGAAGGGAGCCAACCTCACAAAACTCCTGTACCCGTGAGTTTTTACAGGAACATCATATTTCCAGGACAGAGATGAGGAACAGGTGTCACCCACCCAAGGACATCACACCCCACGAGACAGAGTGCTACTTCTAGACACCTGAGGTTCCTTCCCAGAGCCCTAGTGCAAGTCAGGCAGTCTCAGCCAAGACTGCCTCCCCACCCATAAGCAACACACACATTTTCTTTCCTTGTCTTTTCTCTCAGACATCATCCCAGCTTCAGTTCACAGCATTGCCACTCTCTTCCTCCACCTTAGCCAGCAACAGCCTCCCCACCACACACACACACACACACACACACACACACACACCACACACCCGCTCCCCGCCGACCCCACACCTTGGCTGGTACCTACCTGAGAGTAGTGTCCTTCTTTCTACCCAAGGTCTCCACAGAGCAGATGGAGCCACCCAGAGGCACTGGGCTGACAGCTGCTGTCACTGGGCCGGCTGTGGAGGCATTTCCTAATGACTGAGCAGGTCGGGAGGACAGCGCAGGGAAGTGAATGCTGCCCAACCCGTTTGAGGCCAGGAGGCTCTTGGTGCTGCCCAGGGGTTGGGCAGCTGCTGGTGTCAGGTGATCCCAGTGAGGGTGCTAACTGAGGAGCTTCAGCCTGAGTCAGAGGGTCTCACGATGGAAGCAGTATCCCAGGGTCCCTTTGACTGGGGCTTCCCTGGCCAGGGGTTTCCCCATCCAACCGTGGGAAAATTACAGGTAGGGATCTCCATCTCTGACCCTATGCAGAGTAAAGAATAGGTCAGAGCCTATGTAGGCTGTGACACCCAAAGTCCTCCACCAAGTTTGGTGAGATGTGCCCATGTGCCACTGTTATTCGTTAAACAGAGGGGCTTAGAGCGCCAATAGACCAATCACTCCCAGCATAAACAGGCCTAAATTGGTTCAGGGGAATGACTGTGAATGTCCTAAAGTAAATTTGGACAACCATGTGTTTCAAAATAGCTGGCAGAGGGTTTTGAATGTTCTCGACACAGAGAAATGGTTTACCATTGATATCTGAATTTATGGATATGCCAGTCACGATGATCTATCTGGTCATTAATAAAGATTGTATTCATGTATTGAAATGCCACACCCCAACTCTACCCCTTGCCTGTGTACAATTTTGTATCATTTGAAGATTTTTAAAAAATTTGTTAAAATACTATTGAGGGGCCTAGGGATGAAAAGCAGTAGGTAAAGTGCTTGCTGAGTGTGCACAAAGCCCTGGGTTTGATTCCCAGCTCTGTATAAACCAGGTGTGGTAGCACCTGCATGCAATCCCAGCACTCAGAAGGTAGACAGAAGGATCACAAGTTCAAGTTCATCCTCAGCTACTAGTGAATTTGAGGCCAGTCT